ATGGGAAGTATTGGTGCTACTAGCATCACTGAATACATTGTCAAGGGATTTACGTCACAAACTAATTTTACTGCACTGTGCATTTGCCAATATATAATTTTTCTTTGCAATTTCATTTTGTATTCCACTTAATTTCATTTCATTTCGTCACGGTCCTCTTGAAGGCGTTTTAACAAATTCTACTTATGTATGTCACTTTAAATACATTTCATTGACTCAATAAGATATATTTTGACTCCAGTATAATGACTTGACTGTTAGACTAGGCAATTCTCACTGCAAGAGTATCTAATTTGAATGTACATATAGGTATTCAGGAAGATTAATTAAATATTTTGTGGGCTTCCAATCTTAATTAAAGTAAACCCACTCCAGATACATACACTAACTTCTCAGATATATCTACACCCTAATAATGTAGAGCCCTTAATGTATAAACATGTTGTTTTTGTGTGTCAATTCCCCCTAAATCCTAAGGTTTGCCTTTGCAATGTTTATTCGTTTGTTATATTCAACCTATCTTTATGTATGTTAATAGTTTGTTCAAGTTTTGCTTAATACAGTATATCTCAATGCATGACTATCATTATCATTAGTACACGTTGTAAAATGTCAGGTAGTAAAGATCTTTGTTGTAATTAATCTACTTAATATGCAGTAGTATATTAATATACAGTATATTTTGTAATTATTTATCTTTGGAATTGGAGTAAGTTGATGCAAAACATCCACCCAAAAAAAAAAACATATTTATTGTAATAATTTGTTTTATTTTTACATTTCTTTGTGCATACTAAATACTACAGTACAATGTCAATGTTAATGCTGCTATGTAGAATTATAAAGTGTAACGAAATAAATAAATAAAAGAAGTCGCTTTTATTAATTGTTCGCAAAGTTTAGGATAGGGGGAGTTGTAGCTTCCTCGATATATTATCGAATTGCGGATTGACAATTACGTCATTAGCTTTACTAGCGTGTTTACTTTTTATATTCCTGCTACATGTGACCAGTTCTTTTTTTCAAATGAATGTTATTTGAACCAAACAGCTGTTTCAAAACAAACTGTTATTGTTTTTACGTTTCTTTGTTTCCACTTATTTATTTAGCAATTGATGCAGTGAAATTGATATAAAGGATATGTGTGACGATTAGTTTTGATGTTAGGACACCAAAGTTAAATTATGTATACAATGAATTTTATTGGATATTATCGCGTTATTTTAGATCGTTTCTATTCAGACCTACTGGAAATCGTGTATAGTAGTTGTATTGTGGTGATAATAATTATGGAAGAGGCAGGTATGCTATGGAAGGTGGTATCGTTGACTATTACTCTCTCTAATGTAGGCTACTTATTATCAGAGTGCGTCTGTGAGAATCGGCTGCAAATCTCACTTCAAAACTTTTCACATCGTAAAAATTGCAGAATTGCTGTTTTATTGTAAAATTATCGGATTTAAAATGCATGTCGTATAAACCCCTATGATGTGGCATATGATGGAATAAAAAACATATTTGCTCACACAACATTTGTTTACATGAGGATTTGTCACATTAAAACTGCAAGAAACTTTGTCTATATATGTGTAAACTACCTGATCTGAATTGTACACGGTTTTAACTGACTACCTACTGAATTCCCGTACGTAGGACGGGCTAACACCTCGTAAACAATTGACACACTTTTTACTGTACTTCCCTAAAAATTGTGTATTTTTGATTTTACAAAACCATCTGATAAAGTGATAAACACATTATTTGATTTTGTTGTTATTGTTCCTGATGGCTAAGCCAAAATATAGAATATGTTATGTTAAAATGTAAATGTGGCAATAGTTGATTTATTATTCACGGTTATAAAGTATGAAATTGTGGTATTTTATGATATGACCAATACTGCATACTATACAGTAAACCAATACTATATTTTACCATTAAACACAGGGAAATGAAAAAGACAAGGTAAACAGTTAACTCTTACTTTAATTTTTATAAAATCAATACAAAACGAAAACTAAAGCTATACATTCGCCATCATCACAGCAATGGACGGATAGTTTCATATACATTGGCCTTAACTAGGTTAGAATGTAGAGGGTAAATGCAATTCGAACAACAAACATACATTATCACAAACAAGCAAAATAGCTATGTAAATTACATTTAATAGATAAAACTTTATAAATCTTTTCGATTAGGCTTTAAGGTTGCGCCAAACAGTTTATTGGTTATTGAACCAAACACCAAACCAATAAATAAACAAATGTAGCAATAATTAAATTCCAACGTGCTAGTTTTTACTAAGATACTACTGAAATTAAGTGTTGGCCTATAAACACTGAAACCCTCAATGCATACAAAAATTGAAAAATGAATAATATTGACATCATATAAAAGAAAAATGCATAAAATTGAATTTAATAAAGATAATACAATGTGCTTTTAACAAATAGAGATTTCATATACACTTTCCATTACTGTATTAAATAGAATATTATAAACATTTCTTTCAACATATAACAAAAATTACTAAATTAGTAAATTAAAAACACATTATTGCACAGTTCAAACTAATCTATGGTGTACAAATAGTTTTGCCACTGAATGCATATTTGTTGTGAATATTAGTGAATTCGCTGATGAATATAGTATTCATTGAACTATTGTAACTCAATAAACTTTAGGAGTTGTGTGCTTAATATTGTTTATTGTTTACGGTACAGCTGTATTTAACAGACTTTTGCGTTTGCCAGAAAACATCAAAACTAAAACTTTTTAGTGATTTTTACAATAAAGAAACACAATAGAAAGTTACAACCAGATCATCTTAATGATATAATTTATTATGAAGCAGAAAATTTTGTAATTTACATTGTTTGCAAATATAAAACGCTGAGTTAACTGTTACAATCACAGAATAATTTTGCATCTCTAAAAACCTGCATATTTTTAGACGTCCGTATATTCTTATTAAAAACTATAATAAATTGTAATTTATTTTCGTTGCTAATTAATTCCGCAACTTCACAATAATTGAACAATTTATCAACCCGATACTGTAGTTCAAACTATTTCTTTATTACGTTAATTAAAACTAAATGATTTAAAGTCTTTTCTCCGTTAATCCTTACATTAAAAATTGTTTCTGCCGTTTTAGTGCGCCTTGATAACCAGTGGCTTGACAAGCACTCATGTTGGTCACGGTAGATCCAAAATCGCTTGACCGACCAAGCCAAATTCAGCCTTATCATTAACACGCAGCTGGTACTCTGAAACCGTTCAATGGACGTATAATTTGGCGTATTTTATGCCGCGTAATCGTGGTTATGTCTTCATTACGATGGTACGAGAGAAGATCGGCAAAACGACGTTTCAATCTGCGTTTTTATGACGGAAAAACGTCATCATTATAGTTTTTATGGCACGGAGACAACTTTACGGTGCGTTCATTAACTTTTATTTACCAGTGTATAATTATTGTGTGCAGGAATCTTATTATTTCTAAGTGATTACTTAGCATAAACGCCCATAAAAAAGCTTTCAAACGGTAGATAGACGGGGTTACATGGAGACGGGCTTTCTAATGGTAGGATTTAATGTGAGTTAAGGCCCGTTGTCCAAGAACGCGTCTGTTGCGTCTGACGCTGAGTAATAGACGCTAGCGATGGACGCTCAGTGACTGCTAAGCATTGATTTCAATGGACCCGTTGTCCAAGGGAGCGTCTCTAGCGTCTGACGCTTGAGACGCTGAGCGTCTGACGCGGGGCACTGCTCCGGGAGCAGACGGGATCGCTGACGGCCAGCGTCTATTGCGTCTATTACATTGTTGTTTCTGTGTTCTCCCATATACTCTATACTATACTGTATCTTAATGTAATGGCTATAGTCAAATAAGTATAGGATATGACCTTAAAAAATTGCAAGAAAATGTTTTAGGGTTTTATTTTGTTGTGTTGGGTCTGCTGAGTGACATACTAAAGGTTGCCAAAAATCTGTCCATGGGAAACCCCCTAAAATCATTATAAAAAATTGTGGCTTTTCCCAACATTGGGAAAATAATAAAAATGATTCCACATGCATTTTTATGCACATTTTAGAGATATTGACTTAAGACCACCACCAGTATTTATTGGGTGGTTAGTAGTACTTCATTTCGATAGGAAACACGTTTATGGCCGCCATCTTGGATCCGCCATATTGGAAATACATATGGTTATTATGTAATGATAAGTGTTGTGACACATCATTTACAAAACTAGATTTTCGTGCTAATTTCAATGAGGAAATCCGTTTTTATTTTTTTTTGTTTTAAAGATATTCAAACGAAAACTCTCCCTCATAGATTTGTTATAGACGTTTCGTACTTTTATCATTTTTTAACATTTTTTACATATCACCAGTTCTTATTAACGCTTGCAGTTCGTTTCAACCTTATAATATTCAGTAATGTAAGGGCTTCCATTTGAGCTATTGATCATTAAAACCAGACGAGTTAGAGACCCGATACGAAAAAAAACACAAAATTAAATCTAACTTTTTTAGAAATTTGTTTTTATTAAAATATTTATATGTCGGGTTCTTAATACGGCCCAAGGTCTCTCTGGTCTTAAATTACTCAGTTTGGCTTTAAGTTAATTAATCACTAAATAAAATCCAACAAATTTAAAATGAGTCATAGACCTTAATTTAACATGAGAGCAAAATAAATTTTAACACAGTCAGCAACCAACTGTTGAACTGAATAGACGCGTTCTTGGACAACGGGCCTTAAGCGATCGACGCCCAGCGATCATCGCTCGGCGATCATCGCTCTGCGTCAGACGCAACAGACGCGTTCTTGGACAACGGGCCTTTACGGTGACCGAATATTTGAAACATCGGATTTGGCTCGTTCTTGTTTTAAACTATACAAATTTAGGATGTTTAAAACAGAATGGTTCTCGCACGTTAAGTTCAATTACAAATGCAACTTCACAAGAATTGTAAACGTAATCTTTGACATTCAATTGTTATATGAATACTTTTTAAGATTTTTTAAACCAAGATTTACAACACCTTTTTTTCACTTCTTGAACTCGCGAAGCCTAGTATCGTATAAGCCACAAAAATATGCATTCACCAACACCTATACTACTTACAGTGATGCTTACCGGGACGGATATCAAATAGATTAACACTTAACAATAAATAGCTTTACAAACTTAGTTTTATACAAGTCCATCTAACTTTTTGGTGGTTCTGGGCTTCGATTCGCCCAGCATACCGCTTATGTACAGTGTGTCTGCGAGTCTGAATACAAATTTTCATATTAGGGATCATAATTTAAATAAGGATTTTTTTAAAGTTTTTATCTAAACTTACACCAACAAAAACTCATCATGCCTTGGACTTCAACTCAAACACAATCCTCCATTTGCAAAGATAGTTTAAAAACTGTATAAGCCCAGAAGTTTAAGTTCTGGACCAACCGAAACTCTAGACATAGTTCAATAGTAAGCAGTAAAATAGTTTAAGAATTTTAACAAAAACTTTCATTTTTAAATTAACAATTTGTTTAAGAGACTTTAAAGTTCCTATGTGAAGAATACGAAAGTTATAAAACACTCCTGATTTTTAAGCAAGAATTGTTGGTTGTTTGCTAGATTTTGCATAACAGTTAAATCACTCTTCGTCATGATTTTAGAACTTTTGGGGGTTGAGGATTTGATAAGGGAGTATGTTAAATCTATGAGTTGATGTTTAAATTTTAACCGAACTGGCAACAAGGTAAGTTTACTCTCGATCTACACCATCCAGTTTTTTCGTGATATGTAATTTTTAAAGTTTCTATTGCGGTTTCTGGATTGTGATATTTTCATCAGACACATTGCACAAGCACCAGTGGTCGCCGACTACACGGATTAACTAACTTCTCCGTTCTTCCTCAGCATCTCCAGCCGCAGCTCGTGTTCCCTCGCCTTGAGCCGGAGGGCGGCGATGCTGGAGGACCTCCTGTCTATGTCCGGAGGGGAAGATGGTGCCGGAGGGGTCGTGGCCAGGGTGGGGGGCAGAGCCACCGCTGGAGGTAGCTCCTCAGGCTCCGGAGGGCTGGCGGAGGGTAGCGGCAGCTTGGGTCTCTGGGCTGCCGAGATGTTGGCCAACAGACTCTGGAATCAGGGAAACTGTTTTTGTATTCCTTGTTATCTAATGTTTCTATTACATAGTGTATATTTACGTAGTCTTCGTGATAAGACGACGTATCTGGTAAATCAGTACAATGAAATTCATAGTCTGTAGGTACTATGAAAAAAAAACTGTTGTTTGCGAAGCAAATATATGTGGTAACATCCTTTGAATCTGATTATTAAAACGTAAATTTACTTGTAGGGGTATAATTAAATGGATGGCAATCCGGCCTGATACAAACATGATAAGGGGATTTTCTTCTTGTTTTAGAGGGATGTATTTAACCCACAAATTGGTTTTTTGAGTCTTAAAACTAATTAAAATATGTTTACCACTATTATACGTTTCATCCAATGGAAACCCCATGTACATTTGGTATGTTTCTTGTGTGGAGGTACAAAACGGAGTCTTCTAACAAGAGGGATTTTCAAGATCTAACACATGTTCCTTAAGCTGCCATTTGACGACCACACTAACTTCTCTCAAATGTACAGAGCCAGTACTAACCTGGAACGACGTGGCCGGGGAGTACGCCGCGAGGTGCCCGAGGAAGGGCGGAGGCCGGGGGAACTGCGGATGATGTCCTAGGAACACCGGCCCAGGCGGCAACGTCGGGTACCGGAAGGCGTCGAAGGGTTTCCTCAGGCCGAACCCCAGGTGGGTGAAGGGGTTGGGCAGCGAGGGTGCGATGGCTGGCGCCGGGGCGGAACCTAGGTAGGGGTTGTAGGGATGACCTTGAGGTCCGACCTTCTCTTGCTTCCTCCACTTCGCTCTCCTGTTCTGGAACCATACCTGGAACAAGAAAGTTTTGTTAGGTACAAATAGGGAAGACTCCTTTTTCAGACAAAACTCTTTCCAATAATAGTTAACGAATAATTAAATTAGTAGAATTGTTTCGTCGACATTGCACCCTGCAACATTTAATCTAATAATCAAATAACTCATCTGGTAATAGAATTATGTATACAAAAACCCGGTGGAGTTCAAAGAACTGAAAAGTGTAGATTGTATGTAGGCCTAAGTGCTCGTTAAGAAATATTTATGTTAAACTCAGCCAGCACCTATCAATGGTGCTCTGATGCTCGATTCTGTACTACAACAATTAACTTAGTCCAACAATAGCAGAGACAAAGATAAACTCAATTAATTGTGAGCCATTCAGAATTTAAAATCTATATTCTGTTTAATTTATCTTTCATGCTTTTTTCTTTGATGCAATATATCACAGCTACAGACTTGTGAAGAAAGAACACCTTTAAGTAGTTAAATGGTAATTCTTTTTTCGGTTGTATTTTGTATCAATAGGTGCCATATTTAATACGAGGTAATTGTCTACAACACTCAACCACTTTAAAATGTGTCAACACTAAACATTACAATCACGAAGGGTACAATCTACAATATTTATTTGACCTACATAATTCACAGTTGAAACCCAATCAATATCTCTGTTAACGGTCCCCGTCACTGTGTCGTGTTAATGTTATTGTACAACACGGTGTTATTGTTATTGTTCTCGGACCCCACCCGGCGCGGTAACAGGTACATTTGCAGCCTTGTGTTTTTCTATTAAGAGTCCAGTCATTAATACGACTCAGCGGGAACCCTGGGTCGAGATGATTGAGCCGACCTACCAGTCACGATACCAGCGGCCTTGTAGTGTTCTCTCCGACACTACGACGGCCTAGCTCCGACAACATGTGTCCAAAGTAGCGTCTTGTAGTGGTCTCTCCGACACTACGACGGCATAGCTCCGACAGCATGTGTCTAAGTAGCACCGTTCGATGGACAAATTATAAATCCACACTTTGACACAGTATTGGCATAGCTCCGACAACATGTGTCCAAGTAGTGCCGTTCGGTGGACAAATTATAAATCCACACTTTGACACAGTATTGGCATAGCTCCGACAACATGTGTCCAAGTAGTGCCGTTCGGTGGACAAATTATAAATCCACACTTTGACACAGTATTGGCATAGCTCCGACAACATGTGTCCAAGTAGTGCCGTTCGGTGGACGAATGATAAATCCACATTTTGACACTGCAAAGGCGTATTCTGACAACATGTGTCCAATTAGCGGGTAGTGCTGTTCAAGGGAACAATGAAAAATCTATATTTCGACTCGAAAACATAATAACTCCTACAGCATTTTTGTTGATATTGTACACGAAGGTCGGTTTAGTTTGACAAAAATCCAAATAATGCTACATTTAAGGTAGGTAATACGAAATATATCACTGTGCAGGAAAACATCTGTCATATCTCTGAGTGCACTATTCACAGAGATATTTTATTTGATCTCTACAACTATTTCTCATACCTCTGCTACACATAATAGATCCGTTTAACCAACCGTTCACAGTTCAGCGTTCAATGTTCACCGTCCTGTTTACCGTTCACTGTTCACTGTTCACTGATCACTGTTCACCGTTCTGTTTACCGTTTACAGTTCACTATTCACTGTTCACCGTTCTGTTTACCGTTCACAGTTCACTGTTCACTGTTCACCGTTCTGTTCACCGTTCACCGTTCAATGTTCACCGTTCTGTTTACCGTTCACTGTTCACCGTTCACCATTCACGGTTCACCGTTCTGTTCACCGTTCACCGTAGTAAATCGTGTGGGTGTTTCACTCACATTTAAACTTTTATTGCCAATGAAAATTGCACATAAATTGCATCCGTTTATGTATTGTAGCTCGCTGCAAGGAACGGTCGTACGTCAAGTTTACTGCTTCGTGGGTAGTTGTTTATTGAATATGTTATCAAACATGCTTAAAACGGGTGAAATGACAACTGCGCCCAGAACTAACATTGAGTGTCCTTGACGATTAAATATTGCACTTAAGCTATGAAACATACGTAAGTTTCCCTCTGTAATGGGCTGGGACTTATTTTTATCTTCAACTACAAGTACTTTTATGTATTACGAAAAGTGCACTCTAACGTCGGTACAAGTTTTATAGGAAATGAATACGCACAACTAGTTAGGTATTCATCGTTTGCAGACCAGGCGATTCTCCAGGAAAGCTGACAGAGCAGAAGGCATCGACTACATAGTCGATAGCACTTCACACTCACAGAACATCTTACAAACTTGAACTCAAGCACCAAGGATGATGGCACTAAAAGGATATCGGGCGTTTAGAATTACCACGATAACCCCTTCAACAAATTTCTAACATGCTAAATTGTCCATAACATAAGAAACAATATGTTTGAACCAAGCATTACTTTAAGGTATATCGGTAACTATTTAGTGAGATTATATAAAAAAATATAGGTATTCACCGGTTAAAAGTCTTTAATCTTCATTGAACTAACCTCAAATACTGTCAATAATTCATCACAACACAATGAATAATATACAAACAGTAACCTATAAATTGTAAACCTTTTATAAACATCCATCTCAAATTTAACCTCCTTGAAATCGACGCACGCTTTTACAATGACAATAACAATATTGTAAAACAGCCGCCATAAAGCCCACCCTGCCAGATGGCGGGAGATCATAAAGGCAATTGGGAATCATCTGTTGCCAATAAATCAGCTGTTTCGCCGCCGGTCAGCTGACGGGTAATCACACACTGACACCTAGCCTTACCGGGGTGCTAACAACACAAACAAATTAACCGGATCATAAGCTTTACCTGCCAAATGACAGAGGCCGACCGGAAGTCGGCCATTTTGTCGGGAACACCCGCAGAGCGGAGTATTTTCAGTAATTGGCTTTAATAAGGGAAATTGTGGCCGGGCTGTCATTGTCGAGCCGATACGACGAACTGATGTCCCTGGGAGTCAGACTGGGATCTTTGAGATACCGCGGATCAGACTGCTGTCGGTGTTGCGAGGAGAGTCTAACATTACCAGGAACAAGGGTTGGATTAGAGAGTGGCAGTAAATAGTATTTATGACTGATTATAAGTACCTGACCTAGTTCTATTGTCTGGACGATTTTTTCTCTTAAGTCTCAACTTTCTAAAACAGACCATGGGAAAGGAACAAGCCATAGGCTACGTAAGGAGACGAAATGAAAGAAATGATTAATGGAGTAGAGGATATTCCCAGTCGTGCTATTCCAAATCGGCTAAAAATGTGTGCCAATCGTTCTACGGCCTCCTTATGGTTCCCCAAATATGTATTCCACAAACCAATCAAAGATTGAGTTTTTTACGCTTTAATGGTTGGAATGTATTGCTAGCCAGTAGCATGCCATTGGAGGACAGAGAATAAGTTTGACATTACTTTTACTCGATTATCTCTAAAGAATCACACAGATATGGTTCTGTACCAGTCCTACGATACGTATGAAACCAAGTAGTTTTATTCATTCAAAGTCATATTTTGCTACTGTATTTGTATGCAAATACAATGAATTAACTTGGCCGTTTGATTCTTTCATTTGCCCCGCCGCAAAAGTCGTTATTTGGTAAAAGTGGACCTGTGCCCATTGTTCAACAGACTGGTCAAGTGAGGGCCCGCATATTACAAGGTTGATGAAGATAGGGAGACGCGACGTAAGGTCGGAGAGGCCGAAGTAGACCGTGGCAGGTGACCGAGTACCATGACCAGTCCACCCTGGGCCCAGCGGAGTCCCGCATACACCTGTAGCATTGACATTGCAGTATATAAGATATTGTTGGTGGAGAGGAAACAGATGTTGGTTATGAGTATGGTTGATGATGGTTATTGCTCGAGTTCGATGTTTTGAAACGTGCAAGGGAAGTGGAAGAAGTCTAGTGTTGATCGGGATTATAAATTTAAAATGTTTATAATTTTGTGCCCTTTTGCACAAGAAGTTAAATCTGCTATAATAAACGACGTCGGAATTCCATGTATATAAATCATAGTTAAATATTAAGTAGATAATTCTCATTGTGATCATCGTTTAAGAATTCTTAGCGATTTTGTGATATTACTTTTCTTCATTAATTTTATGTGTATCATATAAAGTCTGAATCTCAAACAAACCATATTCCATTTTCAGAGTTGTTTAGCCTCCGGATTACTGTTATCGACTTTGAAATGAAGTGATCACGTGACCCCTCGAGGCCTGATGATGGTTCAGAACCCAAGAACCCAAACTAGTCGCCAAAACAGCAACAAAGGATTACTATATGAAGGTATCGTAAACCATCTTAAGTAAACCATATTCCGGTTAGATTTTATCCGATAAATTTAGAAAGGGTTGGCGAATCCTCAAACTTATTCAAACAATCTACTTACTCATTCAACATTTCAACCCGAGAAACAACATTTAGTCCACCGTGTCTAACCTAATTAACTTGTTTATCTCATTTGGTGAAATCTACTTCTCGGAACACGGGTCCAACTTAAATGACATTTCCGTCCGTGTCATGTCACAGGCATCACGAATTACCGAACACGCACAAACTCTCGCACACAACAGCGCTCCAACTCACACACACGTACAAACTCACGCACACAAAAGTGCTCCTACACACACTGACTCACGCACACGCACGCACACTTTATAAATTCGATTATCGTCTAATTACGCCAGTCGGACCGCGCACGAAGTAATTCCCGGCACAATTACCCCGTAATGGCGGCCTTTGTTGTTTTGCTTAATTCAATTACTGTTGTACACATTCGGCCTTCCCCCCTCCACCCTAGCCCAATTAACCTCCGCTATTACTGTAACATTTTTATTACTACTTCTGTTGAAAATGCCTCCCACGAAATGAAGTCTGGGTAATGGCTGGCCCGCCGCCGCTCCGTTTAGATTCTTTCCTCAAATCGGACCTGATAAAATGTTTCGGCA